GCGCGACATGTCTTTTTCATGCAAATCACAATGGAATAGCGGCGCAAACTGACACGTGACACATCCATGAATAGTCCCTTGCAAAAGCTTCCCCCAATGGCAGCGCCTTAGCGCTCTACCGCGAACAGTTGCGGACGGTTGCGAACGGTTGCGGACGTAGAAACAACGGATCGCGAACAAGGCTCTACCCCCAGACCCCCAAGAGTTAAACGAGAACCCTTCGCTACGCATTCGGGAAAACCCTGCTAACCAACCAACCAACAGCCACCTGCCAGCGGCGCCAGCAGCAACCAACCAACTGACCACAACGTAGCATCCCTTTTGTCGGCCATCCGAGGATAAATTTTAGAATAGGAAGGAGCCATTACAACGATTTACATCGTAGCATTCCTTTGATGGGCCATTCGAAAGTAATTTTTAGAAAAGGAAGAAGCCATTGCAACGTAGCATGCCTTTTGTGGGCCATTTGAAGGTGAAATTTAGAATAGGAAGGAGCCATTACAACGCAGCATTAGTTCAAATTCGACTCGACGATAATTTTTACACCCCGGGGGGGGGAACCAGTTCGAGTTCGAGTTCGAATTCCAATTGACGACAATTTTGACACCGGGGGGGGGACCAGTTCGAGTTCGATTCGAATTCGAATCGACGACAGCGATTTTGGAGTTCGACTCTTTCTATTCGTCCACTGGGTTGACTTCTAACAGTTCCAGTTCGAGTTCGAGATCGAGTTCGAGATCGAGTTCGAGTTCGGTTCCTTCCATGTATCCTTTCAAGGTTAAGTTCATCAATACTGTATAACTGTTTCAGTTCGAGTTCGAGTTCGAGCGGGGCACACTATGGATCTTCTAGATTCTTCTAGTATGTTTGACAGATTGATTGATTGCTTCAGGTTACCAGATTGATTGCTTCAGTCTAGAGTTGGCCATCAGCTTGGGGCTGCACATCCCAGTGATCCTCTGTGCCCATCCCACTGGGGGCTATAGATCCCCCTTCGTCTGATCCTGAAACCACTGTACTGAGCGAGGCTCAGTTGTGCAACACTGAAACACCCAAATCTGCAGGCAGCCAGCACATCTCAATCAGTGGTTTTTGAGACAGTAGAACACCGTGAAGCCTTCGAGCTAAAACGCCTAAAACTCCTTCGCTCATACAAGAAAAGGCATGATATGAACTGCTCAACCTACAGTAACTTCGCTGTTTCAAAAGCTGTTGCGTTTGTGCTATAAGCTCAGTGAGTAAGTACTTAGAAGAAGTACAGTAACATGAAAAGCACCTGTGACTGGACCCCAGTAAATTGCAATCTGCTTCCACTGGACACATATCTTGTGTTGCAAGCTGTTGTTGGCTGTATGATCCACCTGAAACCACACTCTCGAGTGTAGCCTTCATCAGCCAGCTGCTCGTCCTCTTCCTCCTCTCCTTCATTGCCCCCAAGTTTGGTGCAAACTCGTTCCAAGTGAACGTGGACAACCAGGCTGCAAGCAGAGTGTATGAAAGGACATCCAATAGTATTGGTTATTGTGTCCAAAGTTGTCCAAATCCCCTGTTTCAGAGGCCTGGAGGGAGACCTGAGATCCAATCAAAAAGTAGAACGAAGCAAAAGGGGAAATGAACAGTGCTCAGCTGCCCTACCAACGAAACTTTGGGTTATGATATCCCTTACTCGATGTCTTCCAATCATGGCCTTATTAGCAGCTTCATGATTTGACTCTGACATTAACAACAATCTGGAAATTATATACTATGGCTGTGACCCATCTCAGCATCTTCATTCTCGACCTGCATGGATCTGGTCACACTGATGCCTGTTCTTGCCAAAGATGCTGGACACTTTGGAACGTGGAAAAGTGTGGAAACGTCAAACTGTGTCAGTCTGAGCTATGGCTCTAGCAGTTCCTCCTGGAGCTGGAATCTTGCCGCCACCTCGAAGTTATGTCATCTGAAACAAGCCGCAAACAGGTATCCAGAATCAGGAATGACTATCGCACGGTATTGTAGACTAGATTGGAACAAATCAATTGTTCGTGCAGTGTGGTCTCTGTCTGAGTTCTTTTGCACTTTTGCAACTTCACTCTGAGTCGTTCGCCAACACTCTTTTGTCTTGGTTTGGAAGCTGCATCTTTCTTCTGCGCCTCAAGTTCCTGCGTGAAGCCACAGGAGCCCAACGCCAACAAGATTTAACATGTTGTTTCAACATCTTCTCCTGCATCCTGGTGGAAGGCGTGCTTATTGAATAGCATTGACCACATATGACGAAAATGTTGATCTTATTCGCAACTCAGGGACACTCATTGATTCCAAGGGACAGTGCTCATGGTCCTTTCACTCTTAAAGTCTTTCTGTATCAGGTTTGTCAGTCACAAGGAAATTATCCAAAAACGTAAACTCTCGGAAGCCATATTTTGCAAAAACAAGAGTTTCAGACCTGCTGAAAGTGAGAGTTGAACAAGGTCGAGCTTGCATTTTTCAACAAACCATGACCGCTTTCTTCTAATAATTGCTGCGTTCATTTTGCTTGTCATGGTGGGCAACGTTTTGAAGCCCTCCTTTCTCTGTGATCCCTGAAAACAAGCTGGAAAAATTGAGTCTTCCACAAGAGTCCTCGATTGATGGCCACGTTTGCTCTGCCATGGTAGGATCATAGGGCTGCAACCTACTGCATGTGCAGCTATCTCCAAATTTTGTTCCCAATGAAGATTCAAAAACAGTAAAGCCAAGCTTTATGTACCCTTGAGTCGTCAAGTACAGCAGCTCACATCGGTCACTTACAAAGTTGAAACATAGGAGCTGTCTCCTATGACCTCCTAGTTGTATCTACGTATGCATCTATTTGTGGCTTTAGTGCTCTCAAGAAATAATGTTTAATATCGCAAACACAGGAATTGGGCTCTGCCTTTGGAGATCCAGCTGCTGGGTACCTCCAAAGTTTTGATACAGTATCTGTCAAAAGTTGCCATGTGCATACATCCAACACGGGTGCAGCTAGATAGACTTGAGACATGGTAGGGAAAGGTAGTGACCTGCAAGCGATTTCTTTTGGACTGCAATGAATATCAATGATGTCAGTTCTGTCCTGACATGAGCTTTGTAATCTGCCACCTTTCGTCCATATTTTGCTACGCAAAAGGCGGGATCTCTTGTCCCACTTCTCTTGCGTGCATTGTTTATGTGCAACCCTCAGTGTGTAGAAAGAAGCAATATGTGACATATGAGCCTGTGCTCAAAGGTGTGAGCATGAGCATATCTCCCTGAGATAACTTGCAACCAAAGCATATTCAAATTGTCAGATTGGTAGGATCAATTGCGTCAGCATCATGAGGAAACATCTTCTCATCAACGCTATCCTGACAAACAATCCAATTTCAGAAAGTTGCAGCAAAAGACTGTTGTAGTTGTAGGCTGTAAACACCTATATAAATAACATTTGGACGTCACGCTATTTAGTGCAAAATTGACTAAATACGCAAGAGAATTAGGCATGCAAACGCTGAGAACTGTTTTGGCCAATGGGCTGCAGAGAAGTCTCCAAATTGATGTCGTGCTTGGCAACCTCGAACCTCGAGATCGGTGTGGACGTGCTGGCGAGCCGCTCGGCAAGCCCGTCAAGTGGGATGAATCATCTTCAAGGACTTCACGAATCCCTCAAAGCCTCGATGACCATGTTAAATTTGCAAAGCCTTTCTATTCATTCTATTCTGTGTGACTAAACATGACTCAATGAACTCAGCGATGGCAGCAAAATTATTGAGCAACTGTTCTTGTCGAGAAAACATATACATACTTTTGAATTCAAGCATGAGCCTTGCTCATCATCCGCAAACTTGCCACTTCCGTTCTCATCGAAGCAAGCCTAGTAAGTATCCAAAACCCACGGAAACAGCAAACAAACTTGTTTGCGCTTCATCAAACAACTACTATACACGATTGAAGCCAAGCAAAGCCAAAGCTCTTAGAGTGGTTTCGCATTAAGAATACCGACCAGGAAAGGCTGCTTAACGCTGTTTCCCTCTTCAGGGCTAAATCAAGCTTGGGGTCGGAATATTCAAAAATCGCATCCAATAACAGCAACCATGACTCGTTGCTACTCACCATGCATGTCTGTTGCACCTCCCTGAAGTCTTTGGGCTGAATAACAAAGCCGCGGAATATATCCTGGGATGTAAAATGATGTAACTGTCATCTTCCACCACAAGTACATGCCTCCTCTGCACAGTCACTGCAAAGACAGCAATGACGTATGTGGGTACTTTTGCAGTTTCGCGCGTATAAATCTTGGCATCTGCTCCTAATACCGACAAATGGTGTCTCATGTACACAGATCAAAGCGCTGTATATCGGCATAACTAAGTGTTTCAAACCATCTGAATCTCACCCCGTGTCTCAAACTAGAATAAAATGTAACACTATACTATACTATACAGTATATGATATGCAGCATGCACGATTCATTTAATTAAGTTTAACAGTTCAACTGAGAATGGGGTTATTTGTGCACCGGAGAAGGGAGGAGACAAAAAGCCAGGTCAGGCAGGCAGGCAACCTCCGCGTCTCTATCTATCCTATCTTATCTTATCCTATCCTGTCCATTCCTATCCTATATATTTATCCATTATATACTCCTCGCTCTATCTCTCTATCCCACTATCCCTTTGTCTCTCTAGCTCTCTGACTCTACTGTAACTATCTCTCTCTGTGCTTTTCTCCAGCCACCAATCCACCCAACCGTTCGTCCAACTAGGCATCCATCGACCTATCGACTCTACACACATCTATCATCTATCCACATCTACTTATCATCCTTTTATATCTAGCCACATCTACTTGACAATATCTCTATCTCTCTGTCTCTATCTCTTCAGATTCTCTCTCTGTCTGTCTCCCTCTCTCTCCCTCTCTCTCTCCTCTCTCTCTCTGTGTCTCTCTCTCTCTCTCCCTCTCTCTCTCCCGCTCCCTCTCCCTCTCCCTCTATCTATCCATCCACCCACCCATCTAGACATCCCTCAACCTACCCACAACTACACTCAAAATGCAAATCATGCAAAAAAAAGGCCAAAAAGAGTGTCGTGTTAAACCTGGCCTATCGGCTGGCTTGCGTGATCTTGGTCACGTTGACCATCTTTGAGGTCGTGACTGACTTTAACGTGCATCAAAACGCACCAACTGAGCACGGTCTGTCCACCAAGGATCTGCCCATGCCTCATCATCCCCCCAAAAGCCTGCCAGAGGATCACCGGCGACTTTTGGAAGATCAGCAATGTGGCGAGTGATGATCCACACCTCAAATGGCAGCTGCAGTAGCTTCCTTCTCAATTCTCTTTCTCCAACAATGTTGCTTCGATTCGTTTGGGGTCGTTTATGTTGTAGAATAGTAGAACGACATAATCCACCGACCCCGGCTTGAGCAGGGGGAGCGCGTAAGAGGAGCACGCGAGAGCAAAGGGATTGCGCGATGGAATCGCTGCACGGCCTCCAAATGGCCGAAGCGACGGCCATCCGCTTGAAAGTGAGTTAGACGCTTTCGAGACCGGTTTTTGTGTGGCAACAAACACATTAACGGTGTGGCGAAGCTTGGCAGCAAGACGTTTGAGGCCGTGGAGGAGGTGACATAGAGGTCCAAGCCAGGGAGAGAGGTCGGACGCGACTAATAAGCAGGTTGAGCATGGATCGTCTGCAATGCACCAACACAAGCCGATGCAAACCTTGAAGCACAGGAGCACCTTTGCGGTTCAAGCAAGCATTTGGTTCCACTGGTTCCACCCTTATCTAAAGTCAATCATTTGAGCAACAGAAAACAGCTCATAGCAGCTCATATTGGCTGTTGAATTTGTGCACTTCAAGGACTAAGCCGCATCGGTCTCATTGATCTTGTCCAGTCGGCTCAAGCAAGCCTTACAAAAAGGTCATCAAAGTCTGCGCGTTCAAGAGAACTTGCTATCATGACCTGAACTCAGAACTCTTACGATGTGGCTAGTTGATACTGATGGTTCCACCAAGCTGATAATTTGAGTTGCTACTCAAAATCAACGAGAATGACTTCCTTGTGGGTTAAGACTGAACTGAACAAAAGGTATCAAAAGGCTGACCATTTTGCATCTCTGGTGTTAGGCAACCTCAAGGGCCTTTTGGGCTGCTGGCACGGGTGGAAGCTCTCCAAGCACAGCCAGAAGCAAAGCACTCTTGCTTTGAGGCCAACGACTCTTTAGCAGTGCCCTGACAAGAAACTTGAGGACTTAGCATTTTAGGCTTTGCATTGCTTTGATGTTGCGATTTCACAGCTCAAGCTTTGGGGCTTTAACTTTGACTTCTCAGATTTGGGGCAAGGTACAAATATGTACAAATCCATTCTGCAGCTGTTTAACCAAGAGAAAGACACCAGCTTTCGTTAAGTTAAGAGCGTGCACTTTCCAGAAACCACCCCATTGCCTTAGGCGTGCTGCTTCCACTGGGAGGCGTTTTGCCACGTTCATGAAGTGCTTGGCACTGCTCAACTCTCGCAGCCTGAATGAGAGGAAAGCACAAAAACATGCAGGAGCCACACTAAAGGACTAGACTAGACTAGCACTAGCTCGGAATTGTCCAAATCGCCAAGCACAAGCTTGACTGGAAAGGGCCTCTCAACTTCAATCTCCACGGGCATTCTAACATTGTCCATGCCAAAACAACTAGTGTAAGAGCCCAGCAAACAAATTGAACAACGAACAAGCTCTCACACTTGGCAGCCTAAGCGTGTAAAGAAAGAGAACTCGATATCCAGAGTTCAACAGCGCCAGAAAGCGCTGTGCTCTTCGATGGTAGGTCTCTGCAACCGCGGGCTCACGAGGGTCATCGTGGATGTGCGCCTTACGTCTTGCACGAGGAAACAGAAGGTAAGGTCCAGGCCCGCAAACCAAGTGTTTTAAGCTGTTTTACACGTTTTTTCCTCTCTGTCCGAACGGAGCGCCCACAAACCTGAGCTGTTTTGGATCGGCAAAAAATATGACAAGTTGCTGATGGTATGAACTCTGGGTCGGTAAAGCCAGCATTTCCCACAGCGTTGATGTGTGGCAACGGGGTCATGGTTGACACAAAGTCAAGGAAAGGAGGCTCTCGTTTCAATGACTCCTGAGCTGTGCGGCGGTATTTATTTGGTGCTAAACAACAAAAACACGATCCATTATGTGGGGGCCCTATCTCGTTTAGACTACTTAAGTATGAGGTCATGTCACAATGATTATCTTGTTCAGACTACTTTTGTAGCAAATCACACTATCTCGTTCAGACTACTTTAGTGTCATCAAGCAAAAGTATCTCGTTTTTGTGGGGGCACCATCTCGTTCACGAGCGAATACTGATGATAGAGCAAATAGAGCATGCCGTAGACTACTTTAGCTTTAGTAAAGCAATAGAAGTGGCTGCTCAGCTGTTTACCCAACTGGCAATCCCCCACAAGTCGTGAAGACTCAGTGCTGTCACCAGTCTCACCGTTTCATTAAAATGTCACTTTATTGTTACTAGTAGCGATGGCCTCCAACCTAATAGCGATGGCCTCCACCTAGTAGCTACATTTCCTTACTTATGTGCTTGTGCACAGGGAAATCAAACCCTTTCCCACCTTGTTCACATTTGCATCAGGCGTCTACTACCAGCTGAAGTCCGACTGGCGATGAATGAACTGTTGACCTTAGCTATCTGCAGATACTCTGATGCAAAAAGGATACCTGTACGAGTAGAGCGCCTGACGCTCTGTCTGACATCCTTTCACCACCGTTTACCAACCTCTTTCCATTTCAAAGGCTGAGCTGAGCAAGGGACTCTTCGCAGGTCCAGCCATCACAGCCCGTCATGAGCACATCAAATGGAAAGGATCGACGCTTGAAACCAGCCTTCCGAGCATGCCCAAAACATACAACAAAGCTCGAAAGGCCGACCTAGCCTACCGTATCCAACACAGCCAGGAAATCGTCGCATGATGCCAAGCCAAACATGAGCAACAACTACTGTAAATGCACATGTGATGTGCACGCAAGAAGAATACAGTACCAAAAGCCTAGGGCCAAGGTTTTAAGCTCAGATATTGTGATATTGTCACGTTCGTTCATTTCCTGTGCTCTAGATCTCACAAACGTGAGCTCCCCTTGCCTTGGCGATCCGGTACGCGGGCAAGCAGTTTGGACCCAAGCTTACTACTGCATCAAAGATGTTGTCGAGCTTCATGGTCTCCATGGCGTGCTCTCAAGCTAACACGTGCGGCGTCTGCCATGAAATGTGCAAGCAAACCATGTCAAACTGGAAATAACATGTGCAGCATGTGCAAAACAAACCAATGCACGTGGAGGGTTGAGCGCTCTACAAACTGCAAGCCACACTAGACAGTGTCAGAATAGTTCTATATGTATATATGGATAGGGCAGTTTTGCGACCATATTGAGCACCACCAGTACCCTGACTCCTATTGTTTGGAGTGACTTGGTCTAGCCGGACAGCCAAGCGCTGTTGTTCATTCCGGTGCTACCAGTAGAATGGACGGGTCTTTGTACGGCTGAAACTTGGCATCCAAAACCCTTAGTGGATGCTTTCCATGGCTTTGTGTTGCTGAGCATAAGTAGGCTTCCGCACCTAGTTCGTCCACGACCTTCTCAGCAGCCATTGCAGCATCGGTTGAATGTCCAGAACCCTCGGGTGCGGCGGTGAATTCTCACGGGTGATCCTGCTGTGCCAGTTCAAGAACTGAGGCCAATGCTAATGGACAAGGATCACTCAGGGTGCTGATCCGCTCCACCACAAAATCCTTGCACCACATCGTATGGCGTGTTGTTCTCTTCTTGCTGCTTTGTCTAAGCAATATGAGACTCCCAAACAGTTCGTGCCATTGAATCCGGACGAAGAAAACGATATATACGATATAATCTCCCAGCGTAAATACCACTGGTTGGTGGCTGCTCAACCACATTTTCCTCGTGATTTACACAGGGACACAGCACTCTGAAATTCCACAAACTGCTGGGCGCACCCCATGACCTGTGAGGTGCACCAAGTGAGAGCACCTGGCAAGGAGTGCCCCCCTGTATTTAAAAGCCATGCCAGCAGCACCAAACACAGAACGAATCAAAAGCAATCCAACCAGCAAGTGTAAGCTGAGAGTATATATCTGAATCGCATTGTCACTGACAATTTGTTACTAGTAGCTTATTGTTGCTAATAGCCATGGCCTCCAACCTAATAGCGATGGCCTCCACCTAGTAGCGTCTTGTTACTAGCATAAAAAATGATTGAATGTTGTAAAGTTGAGTCTGGCAACACTCATTGGGCCTGAAGCCAGGCCCACGGACATACCCCTTGAGGCTCAAGGTGGCTTCATGTGGAGAATACCTGATGCCAACATACACCGTGCCACTCAGCAGAAAGGCCATGCGAGGGGTCGAGGATAAAAACATGTGCTGCATCAATAACAAGTATTTGACGGGAGCAAAAAGGGTAAAAAAAAAACGCCGGGTTGAGCACTGAACGTGTAGGCGTGAGTGTTTAGGAGCAGCAGTCATTGTCGTGTGGTACACGAAGCCTGCGCTTCAAGTTTAGTGTTGATGCTGGCACCATAGTTCGAGGTGGAATTCACAGTGGGGTTCGACGAAATCATGGTTTCGCCTCAGTGCCGTTGTCATTTTCTTGTTTCAGGGAGAGGATTCGTAGACCTCACGAAAATTTGTCGTGTCACTGGGGAGCGGGATGATTGGCAGCGCCCACGACTGGTGTTACATTGTTGTATTTATATATATATAGACATATTTAGTCTGTGGCACACCCAAATTCGATCCATCAATTTCCTCCGAGTGCAAGGTACACCTATGCCACGCACCTCTCCACAGAAGGTTTTCAATGAGTTCTTCACATACCTTTCTATGATACACAGTGCACCTAAAAGCTGGTAAGCTCGTGATTCCACGTTCCCGGGCCATTCGTCGAGTCTAGTTCTTCTTACATTCTGAGGTGCGTCATGCGATGACAACAAGACATCGAAAGGAACTGGCCACCTGTCCTGTTGCAACACAACGTCCAACGTGATCTGTTCCATGTAATCCCCACTACAATCAAGTGCATGCAAGGAGTCAACATATCCAATGTCAATCGTAAACCATGGTTCCAGATTCACCCGGGGACTCCCCTCACCGACAAACCGCAAAAGGATCACCAACCACAACAGAGAAAACACTTCAGTGATCTTCAGGGGGGTGAACGGCATGGCCGCTTCAAACCCGAAAACTCCGGAAAGACGCAGGAATCGCAAACGGTGCGAGACGACGAAGGAATCGCGATTGGCTCGAAGTCGTCAAAAAACGAATGGGAAAAAATCATGATTCACGATGTACATAGAATCCTTCACGGTCATGGCATGGATCGTCTTTCACAAAATGATCATCGTGAAACCCACCCTCCACCCACCCGCGAATTGAAAAGTGGTGTCGACTGTCAAAGTTGAAAGCAAGAAAAGTACTGTCGACTGTCGACTACACGTTCGCAGTTCAACCCGCAGGCAAAAACTAGCATATTCCCAGTGGGTAATGAAAGGGAAAATACTAGATGATGCTGGGGACCACAGCAGCAGGGCAAAAGGATCAGGCAGTCCCCCACAAAGCAAATCAAAACACAAAGAAAACAAAAGAGACCGAAGACCGAAGGATAGACATGTTGGACACTGCAAAGTGGCCCTTCCGCAGGGGACAATAAAAGGACGTTTGCAGCACATAATCAAAAACATATTGGGCGAGGGCATGCAATGTCTGGTATGGAGATGCGATGGGTGACCTTTGAAGTATCTGTCGCGCCAGGCGCAGTGCATTGGCAAAAGTAGTGCAGATTTCGTGCGCTGGAGGGAGTTGGGGGGAGGCGCAGCACAAGCCACCAGACTCAGAAGGCACCACGAATAGATCATCATCGAAAACTACACACCCCATTGTTTGATCAAAGAGGGGCACCCAAAAGTGACACAAGGACCAAGGCAACGGGGTATTTTTTTGCTTGACAGAGGCCGCGCCAAATTCGTAAATATGACCCTACTAGTAACAAAGGGCATCGCTACTAGGAGCAAGGACGCTACTTGGGGCTCCTGGCCTTACTACAAGGAACAGGGACGCTACTAGGGGCTCCTGGACTACTAGGGGCTCCTAGCCTTACTACTAGGAGCAAGGACGCCACGAGGGGCTGCTGGCCTTACTACTAGGAACAAGGACGCAACTAGGGGCTCCTGGCCTTACTACTAGGAATAGTAATATGAACGCTACTAGGGGCTTCTGCCCTTACTACTAGGAACAAGGACGCTACTGGGGGCTCTTGGCCTTACTACCAGGAACAAGGACGCTACTAGGGGCTCCTGGCCTTACAACTAGGAACAAGGAGGCTACGCCCTTACAACTAGGAACAAGGACGCTACTAGGGATAGTACTGGGAACAAGAACGCTACTAGGGGCTCCTGGCCTTACTACTAAGAACAAGAACGCTACTAGGGGCTCCTGGCCTTACTACTAGGAGCAAGGACGCTACTAGGTGCTCCTGGCCTGACTACTACGAACAAGGACGCTACTAGGGGCTGCTGGCCTTACTACTAGGAGCAAGGATGGTGTTGGGGCCTCCTGGCCTTGCGACTGGGAACAAGAACGCTACTAGGGGTTCCTGGCCTTACTACTGGGAGCTCCCCTCGCCATACTACGAGGAACAAGAACACTGCTAGGGGGTTCCTGGGAACAAGAATGCTACTGGGAGCGCCTGGCCTTACTAGGAGCTCCTGGCTTTACCACTAGGAGCCAGGATGCTACTAGGCCGCTACTAGGGCGCCTGGCCTTACTACTAGGAACAGGGATGCTACTGGGCGCTCCTGGCCTTACTACTAGGAATAAAAATAAGAACGCTACTAGGGGCTCCTGGCCTTACTATTCACGAAACTTGCGGACTGCGTCTGCGCTTCAGGGAGTGTGGTAAGATTGAAGTGTGAACAAATCGACAAATACTGTACAATGAAAACCTCGGAGTCAAACTAGCTAAGTGAAACCGAATATCCGCGCTGCACTTAGAATGACTGCGATGGGTAAATTCCTACTTGGCTGCAGAAAGAGTCACCGGGATTTTAATTAGGCGCCGCCGGAATGGACACTGAGTCAAGATTACCGTTGGAGTTCCATCGATTGCGAAGATTCCGTCGGTATCAGAAACGTTGCTCAAATGTAAGATCGGTTGCCTCGGGTACTGGAAATATCGGAGAGACATGCTGCATCGGAATCAGACCATCAGGATGAAAGGGTGGCTTGCAGCGCAGGTCTTCCGTATACCTAGCAATAGTACGTTGGACAAGACCAGCGTTCGGAATTTCAGGACGAAGAGGTACACCCCCTGTATAGGACCGCCCCCAACCAATCTGAGTGAGGCTGACAGATCCGATCTTTGAAAATTTTGGCAAAAGGGGAATATCTGATTATCCTTGAAGATATAACACTATAGTACGGAAGGCTTCGGCCTGTTCACGAAGAGAGCGCTTAGTAATAGGGAGAGCCAGGAGGTCTTGCCAGTGCACTGGCTGTGCACGTTTCTGATGGCTCAGTTGTAACCATGTCGGAAATTGGAGACCAGTGTTAACAACGAAAGCAAAGGTAAGCTCCAGCCAGGTTATACCGGATTGAGTAACCTGCGTGATCTGGAGGTGGATTGTCGAAGTCTGGCCACCGGAGAGCCGCACAAAATTGGAGGACTAGGTCAGCATATTGATTTCCCCACACACAGGCTGTGACGAAGGCGGGGTGAATGGATGGTCGCAGGATAGTAGCTGGTTCTGTGGTTCGGTAGAATTCTCGGGAACGGTACATGTTCCCCCAATCCAATGAAGTATCATACGAGTGATCAGTCGTGGGCTGGGATTGATGTTTTTGTTTATATTGAGAGTGACACAAATTAAGGTCAGCAAGGTAAGCTAAGATACGCGCTGTCTGGAGGTATTGATCGTTGTACCAAAGATCAGCTTGCCGAAATAGGGTATTTGCAAAAGCATGGTCTGTGATGAGACTTTATTTTACGAATTGTAAATTGATCAGGGTTCCAACATGTAGATAGAAGTTGGAGAAGATCTGCATTGGCTAGCCTATGCCATGTATAGGGTGGTGCGCTGGTCGGGACACTTGGTGAACCATATTAATGGCATATTGAGAATCTGTAGTAATGATGGTTTTCTGTGGCCATCGTTGTTCATGGACATGTTGAGCAATCCAGGTAATAGCGGCCAATTCAGCTCGGGCAATCGAT